CCCCTGCCACAATGCCCGGCCATTTTTTTGGTTGCAGCCATCATTGTTGTTTGGCGGGTGGGCTGGGGATTCGAACCCGCCACTTTAGGTGTACGTGGCTGGCGCCTTAGCCGGCTGAGCTACAGGCACCGAGCCTTGAGACAGAGTCTTAAGCTGTTACCCTAGGTAGAGTACCCTGGCGTCATAACTCACAGCAACCTCCAACTCAGGCTCAAGCAATCCTCTTGCCTCAGTTTTTCTTTTTGCGGTTTTTGGCTGGGGCTAGGTTCGAACCCGCCACCTCCAGCACGTGGGACCAGAGCCCTATCCCTTTGAACCACAGGCGCTGCCCAGTTTTTTTATTTTTAGTAGAGACGGGGTCTTGCTCTTGCTCAGGCTGGTCTTAAACCACCTGTCTCAGCCTACCAGAGAGCTAGGATTACAGGTGTGAGCCACCATGCCCAGCCTTCTTCCTGTTTTATCAGTATCTTTTTCATGGTCTTCTACATACATACCATATATATCGGGGTCACAGGCCCCCATACATGTCCTACATGGCACCCCAGCCTTGTCTGGCACAACCCCTGAGGATGTTCTACACTGCCTGATAGTCTCAAACAAGCCCAAATAGTGACCACCCAGGGAGCCAGGCACAGGTCACCCCACATAATTTCTCTCACACACAGAGGTACCTTCTGGGGTCAGTGTCACTTACATACTATTTTCACACTCAGCTCCTCAAAACTGCTATGCTATGTATCAGTATAGCCCATTGTGCCACACAGATAACACTGTCATAGAGTTGGCCACATCATTTTACTCAGACATAGTGTCATATACAGGCACACAAAGGCTGACCTGAAGCCATCTCCCATACTGGATCACAACACTCAACACCACAGTGGTCATGCCACAGCATCAAGTCACACAAAATGTCATGTATTCTGCTTATGACACACTCCCTTATACAGCATCACACAAATCACAAAGTTTCTCACACACACATGTAGAGTGAGCATCAGAACGACACCCAGTGTCACCCACAGGCACACACAGATGATCAAGCAAATGGTCTCCTTCATAGACGTATCCTGTGTGATGGCCATGCACACATGGAGTGCACCACCCATACAAAATTCTCAAGTACACATGTGGCAGCACCCTAAGATTTATACAGTTTCTCTCATGGATGTTAAGTGTCAGTAACATATGGAGAATGTCAGTTTCTCTCATATATAAGTCCTGCCTCACACAAGTGGTCCCATCCAGGCTGCCTCCCATGCACACACAGCCCCACACATGTCTAACCCACACAGAATGTCCCATTCACGGCTTCCCTCTCACCATAGCCTCTTTCTCACATGCATCCAGTGTCACACACAGTTGCACTCTCATTTCCCTCTATCACTTCCTGTCCTTTGGGCCTGGCAAGGAGTACAGGAAACAATCAGCACTCTAGGAAACCCCAAGGGCTGTGCTTTGGGGATCTGCAGGGGTATGGAATTCTCTGGCCCTGGCCTCCAGCCCCCTGCAGTCTGGGAAGACAGGCAGAACCCTCACTCCTCCTCTGGAGAAGTAGTACCCCTTATTGCAGACACAGCCCTCAACTGGCACAACACCAGGAAGGCAAGGGTGGGACAGGACTGAGTGTGATCGCTGACCTCCCCAGCTCCAAACAGAGAAACTCACTCCATGGCCCAGGCTGCCCAGAGGTCCATAGACACCCAGATCTTCAAGGTCACCCTTGGGACCCCACAGCTTCTGCAGCTCCCATGCTGGAAGAGAAGGCTGTGACTTCCTAACCACCTCCATAGAACAGTGGCCTTTGGACCCCTCCTGCTCCCTTCTTCATTCTTCCCATTGTGAACTGGCCCCTTGCTCCTCTCCTAGTCCTAAGCAAAGCAGGGGCAAGATTTCCAGCTTCCACACTGAATGCTGGGGAGGGGGTTGCAGAGGAGCCTGAGAATAGGACAGAGGGTCATCCCATCTAGCTCTGCCAGACTCCAACTCCATTGGGTCTCCTGTCCCTTGATACCTGCTGCCTGCAACCTTTTCAGCCCTGATCACCTGGTTTAGCTACTCCTCAGTCCTTGGTCTGTCCCAGCCTTTTTCCTTAGACCACTGGTACCCACACACCTCCAGATCCCACCAGGGTTAGGTTCCATAATGGGAGGAGAAGGAAAGCAGACTGGAAAACAGAGACTAAGAGGAGCTCAGAGAAAAGGGACCTGAGAAGTCATTTATTCCAACTAGGGAAACTGAGATAAAAAGGGGCCTGCCAAGATGGCATAATTAAAGGTCCAGCTAGGACCAGATCCTGAATTTCTTGGCCTCTGTTGAGATGTCTCCTCCTGGTTTTAATAATTCTTCTACTAGCAGAAGGAAGGTACCATGGTGTGCAATGTGAGGGTGAGGGTGGGAGCTGTCATCTCTCTCCTGGCAACCACTGACCATTCTACTAAGCCATTCCCCAGCCCAAATGCACTAATTAGCATTAATAAGGGTTCCTTCCCTAGGGGCATGGGGGAAGGCCCAAGAGCTTGAGATTTCTACTGGCTCTAGCTCCTCCCTGAGGAGGGGGCATCCAGGACCTCTGAAGTCACCCTTACCAGAGAGCTCAGTCCTGGACAATTCATCTGTCCATTCTCAACAGGGTGAGTGGGGACCCAGATGGCCACAGAACCACATCCTTTGAGAGTGCCCCTAAGGAAGAGGGTCTTGGGAAAGGGACTATAGGAGTCTGGAAGGCAGGGGAAATAATTCCCCCAAATCCCAACTTTGGGGAGTACTGCCTTCCCTCCTTACTCCCAACATCCAGATAAAAGAGGTGTCCTACCCTCCCCACACTCCCAGCACTGGGGTGGACCACGTGTACACCTGGTTCTGTAACCATGCCTCAGGAGAGGAGATACACGCAGCCACCATGGGCATCAGCCACTCTGAGCCATGTCCAGCCCCCACCTCCATCCTCTGTTCTCCTGGGCTACAAGTCCAGGCCTGACCTGGTCCTGCCCCTACCTGGAGAGAGCGAAAATACAGAGGGAGACACCCCCTGAGGATCCCTCCCCCAAGGCCTCATTCCCCCTTGCCCTGAAAGAATCTCTCAGCTCGGATCAGGGCCCCTCTCCAGGAAAGGAGGCAGTGGGATCTTAATAACACTGCCCCAGGGCTTTGGCTAGGCTGAAACAGAGACCCAGAACACAATCCTGGTCCTCCCTTCCCAGGCAGGAATAAAGAACATGACAGACAATGGAGGGGACCAGGGTGGGGGTGGAAGGACTCCCCAGCTACCCTCAAAACCTAAAGTCTAAACAAGGGCCCTGAGTAAGTGTGGCAAAGAAAAGGCCCCAAATCCAGCCCCCTTCGGAGCCAGGCTCCCCAGAGCTCAGAACTGAAACTCTGAACTCGGACCCCGTCACAGGCAGCAGAACTAGAGGGAACTAGAGCCCCTGCCTCTCAGGGGTCACAAGCCTAGAGCGCGCGATTTTGCTCCTAGACACTCTCCACAATCCAGCGCAGCCACCCGCACCGCGCGAACAAGCCGGAGGCCCGGCCCGAGGCCTGCGTGGAGCTGGGGCCGGGCCGGCTCCAGGAGAGCGCGGGCTGGGAGTCCAAAGGGCGGCGGGGCCCGCGACTGGGCGCCCCGGATACTAGCTCACCGGTGGCAGGCCCTCCAAACTCTGCGGACTCCAGATCCCCACCCAGAAACCCCAAGCGCGGACGGCAGGACAGACGATGGCATGGGGTACACAATATCCTGGCTCCCTTAACTCCCCTGACCAACTCGCCCGGGTTGTGGAGGGGGAGTAGGGGTGATGGGCGGGGCTTCCTGGAGAGATTTTTTTTTTTTCCCCCCACTTATCTCTAAACTTCCCGGGACCCAGATCCCGGGCTCCAGCTCCGGATGGACAATAGCTCGGGGACCAAGCCCCCTTCGGAGTTGCCTCCCCATTTCAGAACCAACCAACCAACCAACCAACCAAACCACCTCTCCCAAGCAGGGCCTCCTCCCGGCGTTCGCCCGGCTTACCTGGTCCGAGCTCAGGGGGGCGCTCCGGCCGGGCCGCTCCGCCGAGCCCGACGGAGCTGAGGGGGGCCGGGGAAGGGGGGTCGTGGGGAGGGGGCTGTCCGGAATGTGTGGAATGAGCCGGGCTGGAGCGGGAGGCGCCGGGCGCGGAGGAGGGAGTGAGCGGGACGGAAAGTTTGTGTTGAGGAGCCCTGGCGGGGGGGTGGGCGCTGCGGGAAGGAGGGGGCGGGGCGCGCAGGGGGCGTGTCCAGGCAGGGAGGGGCGGGGCCGCCGCTCGAGCTGCCCACCCCGCGGCTTGGGGACCCGGGGCCACGCCCGGCCTTCCGGCCCCTGGGCGCCCCTCTCCTCGCCCGCTCGTGCAGAGCTCCCTACCTCCCCCTGTACGGCTAGGCCTCAGCCCCTTCCCCGGTACCCAGCCGAAATTTGGGGTCCGGCCTGGGTGGGGCTGAGGGCGGGGCTCTCTCCTCGGGGGCCGGGCTCCCGTCGGTGCCGGGGGCCTTGGGTGCCGCGTCACGAGCAACCCGACGGAGCGGGCGCCTACGGGCCCCTGGGCTCCGTACCCCCTCACCTCAGTCCCGAGCCGCCCAAGCGGAGCCCGCCCCCAATTCCCGGGGCCCCAGACCCGGCTCCGCCCTGGCGGCTGCGCCCGCCCTGTCCGGACCCGGTTTGTCTGGTTCTCCCCGAGTGGTTTGTTTCTCGAATTTCTCCCTTTCTCTCTCTTCCCGGACCTCCCAGGCCCTCCCTCTCGGCCGGGCTCCCCGGGGCCCCCGCGGGGGGCGTCTCGACACTGCGCACCCGCAGAGTTTCGGTAGGACCCGCGATGGGCGCGGGGGAGGGGAGGCGGGAGTGCCCGGGGCTGAGGAGGGAGGGGCGGGGAGGGAGGCTTCCAGCCCGCCCTGCGGACCCCTCCCGCCGCCCTCGTCTCCGCTGGCGCTGAGGAACCACCACGCCGCTTGACCGAGGACCGGCTTTATTGGGGATATGGGTATCTGGCCCTAGTCCCCCACAACCTCCCCTCCCCTCTGGGTCGGCCCCAGCTCCTCAGAGCTCTAGTGCGGTCCGGGTGGGGGTTAAAACAACACTGACTACTGCTCCTGGACAGGAAGTGACTACGGCGTGGGGAGGCGGGGGTGGCGAATGGGCGCAGGCGAGCTCTGCGACCAGATGTGTGGCTCCAGCTCCAGATGTTCTTCATCTCCGTTCTGTCTGCCGTCTGAGCTCCTCCTGCCTCGCCCTGTGCCAGGCTGGGGAGCGGATGCAGGTCTCTGAGAGGCAGTGAGGGGTCAGCCCCCAACAACCCTGCGAGCCTCCTGAATCCTTTCCCCACGCTGGCGGGTTCTGGGGCGCTGGGGTCACTCGCAGGCCAGCTTCCCGTCAAAACTGGAGAGAGCAATGGCGAAAGCCTGCAGGGCGCACAGCGGGTACCGGTAGTCGAGGGTGAAGACGTCCTCGGCCACGCGGCCAAACTGCAGCACGATATAGTCGGCTGTGGACACAAGACGTGGGTGGAAGCGAGGTCCCTTGGCACCCACATCTTGGCAGACAGAGCTTTCAGCATTACAGGAAGTCTCTGTCCCTTGCTTTGGGGTCCCAACCCTCAGCCACCATCTCAGTTACACCAGTCTCCGTGTAAGCCCCCCAGGGCACGGACTCTGCCTTACCTGTTGCTGCCCAGGGCCATGCCTGCAGCAGGCACTTAGCCTACTTAGTCAATTACCTGTCAAATTTACCCAAGCCCAGAGCCCTTCCTTTCAGGCTTCTCTATTGTCTTTTGGCCCCATTCTTTTCTTTTCTTTTCATTTCTTTTTTTTTGAGACAAAGCCTCAAGCTATCCCCCTGGGTAGAGTGCCTTGACTTCAGAGCTCACAGGAACTCCAACTCCTGGGCTCAAGCGAGTCTCCTGCCTCAGCCTCCCAAGTAGCTGGGACCACAGGCGCCCGCCAAACCCCCGGCTATTTTTTGGTTGCAGCCGTCATTGTTGTTTTGCGGCCCGGGCTGGATTCGAACCCGCCACCTTAGGTGTATGTGGCTGGCGCCTTAGCCGGTTGAGCTATAGGCGCCGAGCCATTCTTTTCTTACCTCTCCCAGCCACCAAGTCCCACCCAGCCCCTATCCCATCTCTGATCCAAGTTGTCAGCTTCAATCCCCACATCTCCCTCAGCATCTATAGGGACAGGAAGCTGCTAAAAATACCCCCAAACTCAGGCCAGGCTTCACTAGAAACGTGATCTGTAGAACAGTCCCAAAGCCATGGGACAGGTGACACTGGGGCACCTCCCATCCCTAGGACAGAGTGGGGGATGGGAGTTTACTCCCTGTTGGCCCAACCCTGTGAACCTGGGAGATAATCCTTCTATCCTAAACTTCCTCATCCTAGTGAGACCTCTCCCAGGCTTGTAACAGGGACATTTTTACTTAATTGTGTTGCAGGTACATGTTATTTCACGAACTTTTCAAAGATGAACCTTTGACCTCACTTAAGACATAGAGTATGAAAAAAAAAATGCTTGATTAATATTCCCTGCTACTAAAAGGCAACCATCTTTTTTT